AGAGGGGGGGGGGCGGGAGTAGATCACGGCGCCTGCATTATAGGACTTAAGACGCGTAAACATATCATCACCCACTATCTTCACCTTTACACACCCGCCTGCTGCGACGCAACGACGCGGAGGTCCATCCATAAATGGGCAGATTAATTTGCACGCTAAGGGCCGCGAGGTGCGGGGAAAGATGGGGGGAGGGGGGGCTGAGCAGTAGACTGTCGCATCACACCACACTGGGCCTGTGGCGGCCAGTAGAGCGCGATACAGCAGGCCAGTAAAGCGGGTGAATACTTCCCCGTGGTCAGTGACAGGTGCCGACCGCGACGACAGACAGTACAGTGGCACACGTTGGAGCGGCATTCACTCACTATGCATTTACTGGCGTTTTTGTTTCCTCTTGCCAGAAAGGCAAAGAGGTGTGCTAATTAAGCAAGAGACAGCAAGTAGGTGGGTATGTACGTAGTACCACCTGGTTAGCACGTTAGTGGGTCGAGTTGCACGCTCACTCTTCGCCGGCACGCCGAGCAGACACTTACCCCGACTTGTGCGTGACGTAGGTGTAATCCCGGTATGAATGCGGTCCTTCGGTTCGAGTTCCTCTCGCACACAGACACACACACACACACACACTCCGTCGACTCGACGACGACTGTGATCGCGCACGACTGGGCGCGCGAGCGAGTGGGGGACGGGGATACCGGACCGGGCGGGGCCGACGACTTGTCGGCGTTACGACCGGCGGGAGACTGAACCGAGTCCAAGAAGGCGGGCCGCCGCTACCTCCCTCAGCCCGCGCGGTGGCCCGGCCCGCCGCGTGCAGCCGGCCGCGCCGCGCGGCACCGGCCGGTGAGGGGGGCGGGGGCGGGGGCGGGCAGTCGCGGAAGGTAGGACGAACAAGCCAAAGCGCCCCGCCGTGCACGCCGTGGCCCCAGCGTCGCCGGCCCGCGGCCTCAGGTTTCCGCACGCGCCCGAAACGCGGCGACACGTAAAAAACGTACTTAATCAACGGCCGCGGACCGTCAACGAACACCACGCGCGGGGGCGCCAGGCGAGCAGCAGCACGACCGCCACCAGAGTCCTTGCACTTCGCGGAGTACTTAATGTCTGAACTTAGCGACACGGAACTTTGGAAACAACAGAGTTGTTCCGTTCAACTTTGACGGACTCGGTAAACTTTTGATGAACTTTTGTGCCGAGTTTAGTGAGAGGATCACAAACGTCCGTGAGCAAGCAATGAACCTCGACTGAAGTGTGTACACGTGGACTGTGACTTTAGCGTCGCAGTTAGTTTTTTGAAGCCTGTGCGTTTCCCATAGCAGCGGAGCAGGACAACAAACAACCCGATACCGGAACCACGACCCTCAACCCCCTACTTCAACACCACCACCGCCACCACGCCCCCTCCCCCTCTGGCCTTGGATTCACTCCCCATCC